CCGTTTAATTATTCAAAATGATGATGCCGCCTTTTTGTCGAGCTCAAAATTCAGTAAAAAACATGGTAATAAATCAAACAAAGTAGTTTAAATTTGGTATCTCTTAAACGGCGATATTTTAAAATAGCTAAAATAGGCTAAAAAAAGTTAACCCTTTCGTCTATGAGCATCCCGTCTAGACACGCCAAAATATGCCCGGGGCCATGTGCCGGGTTGGGGATTAGGGAAAAAGATGAAAAGCACAGCTGTTCCCTCCCCTTAAGTTTTGTCAATAAGGGGGGCCTTTCCTGGGGGCTTTACCCCTGAGAAGGGTCATTTCGGGAATCCGAGACTCGGGACGATGGCCGGCCGCTTTTGGGTACGTTACTTACGGTGTAAAAACCGGCGGGATTTCTTACTTTCTAACAAAAATATCGATTTTTTTTGTTGAAACTGACGATACTGTACTGTACTGTACATAACGGACCAAGACCAAGACCGTAAGCTGAGGCCTAGATCTGGGCCTAGCTTAGGCTTAGCTTAGGCTTAGCTTAGGCTTAGCTTAGGCTTAGCTTAGGCTTTGCTTAGGCTTAGCTTAGGCTTAGCTTAGGATTAGATTAGGCTTAGCTTAGGCTTAGCTTAGGCTTAGCTTAGGCTTAGCTTAGGCTTGGCTTAGCCTTGGCTTGGGCTTTTCAATTGCTTCCCAGGCCAGAATCGAACCATTTCTCTCTCCCAAATGTGCGCGTCATGATGTGCACCCCGGTTGGGTGAAATGATAAGGGAGCACCTTTAAAGTGTGCACTGATTAGCAGCGACACCAATTCGGATTCCTTGGCAACGACAGACCAATATCTTATCTCCGACCATGTGCCGTCCAGCACACGCCTCTCCATTTGGCCGCACCATTTCACCCCCGCGGAGCCAGCGAGCCGAGCGCTCTGGTGCTCTTCAAAGATTTGTGCCCCCGGGGTGGGGAGATCCGGCTATTTCTCTTGATCTTTCAAGTTTTACTCATTAATGCACGGATTCCGCAAAATTGTAACCGTCTAAGCTTTTTTACCAAAAAAATGCGTTGAAAATTTTGGAAGCCAGAAAACTAGGCGTGATTTAGCCAGTAAAAAAGTACCAAATTGATGAAAATCAGAAGCCATCTAAGATCATCCATTCATGCATTAAAATTGCTATAAGCCGCCCTAGTGATAACCTTAATGCTAGGAAGCTTCCCTGTCATGCGCATAAAAATTTGAATTTTTTTGTGGATTTTCTTTTTTTCGGCTACAGACTATAAAAATTTATGGGCGATTATTGATGCGCCGATAATATGCATTAATAGGAGCTACAGCCAAAAGACACCTGCTAGCTTACAAAATTCAATTAGTGCGGCAAGATTTTAATTAAAATTCTTGGTTTCAAACTACAAGAAAATCAAAAATATTCATTAGTGCTTCGCCTAATCAGTAGAATTAATTGCGGTATAGTGAAGATAATTTTGAGCTCTACTACCGCGCTTAACGCTCAGCTCCCGGTCCGAAAAGTTTCGCCTCCGGACCTCATTGACTCATATCGCTGACCCTTCCTCCCCCAGCCTTCGTTCCGCTGATCCTCCATGGACAGACAAGTGGCCCATGTCATTTTACAGCCCTGTTTCTTTCTCTCCATCTCTCTCTCTCTCTCTCTCTCTCTCTCTCATTTCTTTTGGTGCCCTTAGGGCCATTCGACCGGATCTCCCCCTCGACCCGGACGTAAAGTCATTTCAGCCCCGACTCTCTGCCGATCGCGCACACACCGGATTCCAGGGTTTTCGAATTAGGTAGTTTCTTACCAATGATTTTTGGTCTGCCGTATCCGCTACCGTATTGAGACTTTGATTCAGAAAATACTATGCTCTCAAAAAAAGGGAAGTACCCGAGAACAACCCTGTATTTCAGTGCTTTTAGAGGATATTCTTAAGTAACGTAATTACCCTTAGTACTGCTTCTTAAAAAAAGGAAAAAAAGATATTATTTGGATCAAAAGTATTGTGCCAGATACCGTAGTGATATTACGAATGGTCTTAAAAACCAGTTACACGATTTAAATTCAGTTTAAAAGTATCACGACTACTTTTCTGCTTCGAATTTTGTGACTATCCGGTACCGCACCGAGCAGCGCAAAAAATATCTCACTAAACATACCGGTAGCACTTACTCTCTTTAACAGTTTTTAAGCGCTTAATTCCTTGATTTAAACTCAATTGCACCATGCAATTAAACAACTGGGGGCTTTTTGAGTGCTTTTTGGTTATATATTTGTGCCATTACTTGGTCGTAATTTTCATTTTTTGAATGTTTGAAGTAAGGGTGTCTAAACGACCGTCATCCCTCCGATTCTCCCCATTTCAAAAGTCTATTTTTGTTGTTCGGAAGCAGCAATCGTCCCCATAGTGTCGGCCGGCTATTTGTAGACATTTCGGCTGGAAAGATCTGGTTGTGTCCACCCCGAGGGGGTTTCTCTCCCCTTCTTCCCTCCTTCCCTTCACAACTCATTGTTGACCCATTCGAATCGATCCCGAGGAAAAGACGAAGACGATGTGGCCCCTTTCAATCACTTACTAATAGTCTCTAAAGACGAGACTGCACTATTCTGCATTTGCTACTGTAACGTCGCCCCTTGTTGAATTAGCTTTGCTTTAATCGAACTGCCAGCTTTCTGAAATCCGGTTAAGCTCTGAATTCTTCAAGAAAATTTTTACTCCAAGAATTCGACGTTCTATATTCTATAATAGGTTTTAATTTTCTATTATTCCTAAACAGTCGAGACTCATATCTTCATTTAATACTTCCTGCAGAAGTAGCAACATCAAAGCGCAGCGATAAATTTGCATAGCGACCGTTATATACTAGCTATATTAATTCTTGTTAATTTTTTATACTATAAACGAATTATTCCGAGCTGCCTATTCTCTAACAATGTTACCTAAATGGTGCCTGGCCTACCGTAGGCGCCGCTATATTCGGTGCGCTTGCTCCGAGGATGAGCAGCCTTTATGGAGCGATAATGTGGTGAGTGGCAGATTTTTTAGCTTAGGCTTAAGCTTAGGATTAGACTGAGGCTGTGGCTGACGCTTAGGCTTGAGCTTAGGCTTGTGTTTAGGCTTGGCTCAGGTCCGAGCTTAGGATTTGCCTTTTTCCTACGATTTTCACACGCTTTTCCCACCAGACAGATCAAAATTTGTCACTTTTGTGAAAAATCCCTTTTTCAGACTTTCCCCAAATTTCCTCCCTCCCATAGCTCTCTCTATAATTTATATAATAGATAGGAAAAAGAAGGCCTGATATGGGAAAAGGTGATGCTCATTTCATTTGCACCTCCCTGTCTCGGATACGCGAGTGCCGTGTCATGGACAGCGCCGATTTTCGCACGTTTCGGTGCTCGCTCGGTGTGTGTGTGTTTCGAGAAGGAGCAGGAGATTTTGGGTTAAATTTAGAAGATGGGTACATTGATACGCAAAAATTTGTGATTAAAGAAACCTGAATTTCAAGGCAAAAAACCTAAGCCTAAGGCCAAGTTTCGGTCCAACTTAGCCTGAGTCTGAGCTCAAGTCTCTTCCCAAGCCTACGTCTAAGCTTAACCCTAAGCCTAAGTTGAAGCGGAAGACGAAGCCTAAGCCCAAGCCTAAGCCTGACTTAATCTAACCCTACCCCGGACGTTCTCCCCCCAAATTTCTCTTGCGAAACATTTAAGCCAGAAAACACCCCGCATTTCCGCGTTGATGATTTCATTTCCTGACCCCCAACATTACAGCCCCAAAAATGAAATGATCAGCCCCAATGTTCAACCCCAACCTCTCAATCAATCACTTCAAAAATCGCTAAAAACGGCTCGCCTACGCCGACACATTTCCCCAAACAACCCCACGTTTCGGGGGATCAAATGATAGACGTTCCGGTGTGAGCGTATGTTCTCGCAAAATGATACGGTAATGCGTTGCGTTTGGCGGATTAGGGCTATGATGGTGATTTGCCAAATTGGTTTGAGGAAGGTGAGAGAGAGGGAATAGGAAGCAAAATTAGGTGCATCGTGCTGAGGAATGTGGCGTAATATTTTATCCGAAGCGAAAAAGATAACCGAGTTCGAGACAGCTAAGTTTAGGCGTAGGTTTTAGCTTACGATAGGCTTCGCGTAAGCTTCATGTGGGCTTCAGGTGGCCTTCGCGTGGGCTTCACATAGGCTTTGCGCAGCCGTCGCTGAGACTTGGCTTAGGCTTGGCCTTGAGTTGGGCCTGGGCTTATCCTCAGGCTTCGCTTGGTCGATTGGGCTTAGGCTGAGCCTAGAATTAGGCTTATGATAGGCTTATGCTTAGGCTTGGTCTTGGAATGGCGAAACATTTTTCAGCTGGGAAACAGTAGGAAACTTTAAGAAAAATATCGAAAAGTTTAGGGTCGTGAAAACGTTTAAAAATGGTTGAATTAGTCATCGAATAGCTTTCCAAACGTTTTGATCTCTCAAGAGAAAGAGACAAATTGATCTGCTAATCTCTCAAATTTCGCCATAAAATCCCCAGCCGCCCACGCATATACCATACCTTAACCCCATTGAACCCAAACCACAAAACCCCCATTTTATTTCCGAACCCGAACTTGTTGATGACCCGGTCCCGTCTGTCTTGGAAAACCGCCCGGGTCCGCCCCGATCCTCGATCAAGAGGGCCGAAAAAATTGTGCGGGCTGGGATAAATTCCGCGGGGATCCCCAGCTCATTTCACGCCCCGGCTATCCTTGGACGCGTATCCCCATTGGATACCGTAACCCCGGCAAAGAGAAAAGTTTTCTCTGCCCATCTGTGCCTCACTACGCGCTCTTGAAAAACAACCTCGAGCTCCCTTGAGCCGACTAGATATATTTTGATAGTATTCTTGCCTATTGACTACGACCTTTCCTATCGACTGACGACACATCCGTCGTAACCGTACACTGTGCACTTTATTTCACGACTATTAATTGCGCGCAGCCTCGCGGAAAGTACATAAAATCACAACGAAAATGCTGGAGGAAAAACCGGCCAAGAGCATCGACCTATTCCTTGGATTCTGCTATATGAACGGATATACGAGATGGGCTTTTAAAGTTGTAAGTTTTAGGCCGAAATTTTTTATTTCATGTTCTTATTACGGTAGCTTGAAACCTCAAATTCAGGCCCCAAACACCATGCGCTATGTGTTTTTTAATACAGCAAAAAGTAGAGGTTATACTGTAAATCTTTATACAAATGTGTTTTCGAGATTAACATACCCGTTTTTTTCACATTTTAGACAATTCGTCTCGGTTATCGTACTCCAAAATCGAGCAAAAAAATCGTGGTTTTGCTAATTCACACTATTGCCTACCGGAGCCAAATATTTGCTACAAGAATATAGTTTAATCAGCGGCTGGGCTATGGTATTTTTATCTCCTGAATTCGAATATTTTTCATTATTTCGGCCTACACAAATTGGCGTTTTCGCTACCGTAACCCGGAAAAGTACGTTTTTTTCTTGCGCGCTTCTGGCTACAGTACTTTCAAAATGAATATTCTTGTTTCTCTGAATTCTATACCTCGCCAAGGATACGGTAGTCGAAAAAATGCCAAACCTGATTTCCTAATTTACGTTTTCGACTAACGTAATTTTCCAAGCTGAAACTACAGATAAATTATATTTTTTGCTTACCATACCGTAGCACAAAAATGTTCGAATAACATCGCCATAGGAGAAGCAATATTTTGTGCCCACCCAGCCTAACTCGGCCCTCGTTTTACCTCATATCTCCGAAGCCACGCCCCTTTTCAAGAGGGCGCTCTTTCCCCCTCAAAAATTGGAGCACACAATAGGAACACGGGGACGAACGGGGGCCTAGCGACGAAAAATCCTTGGAGCGTGCGGTTTCCGATTTTCCGTCTTATCTTGGATGGGGCACGTCAGGGTTGAGAGACCAAACCTGACACTTACTGTATGGCGCTAGGAATCCGTGAAAAAGCGGAAATGAAAGGCTTGGATGGGCTGATTAACTAGACGGTGGTGAAGATTAGGAAATAACGAAGGTTCGGGTGTGCTCAAAGTTCAAAACGTTTTTGGGGTTGATGACCTCTACCAAAAAATTCTGAACACTTGGTTGAACTGCTTGGACTTGTTGAACTAGTTGAACACGCTGAAAAACCAGAATTTTTGCTCCCAGGCATTCATTGTTGTTTTTAAGAGAAGCTCTGATGTTTACTAAACAACTCGGTTAGCTTTTCGAACTTGTTGAACTTGTTGAAAGCCCACAATTCGGAATTTATTGCTCCGCACGGTTTAGCTGAAAGGAATCAAATATTTTAAAACATTTAGCTGTGGAATTAGAATCTAACAAAATCCACGAGTAACCGAACCTGTTGAACTTGTTGACCATTTCATAATGAAATTCGAATCCCATCAAACCGCAAAATAGTAGATGAACAACTTCCTGAGCCCGTCGAACTACCAAGCAATGCAAGCAGCTTGTTTTCAAAGCCATAAGCCCCAGACAATCTTCTCACCCAAACCCCACTATCACCTCCAAAAACGTAAAAATCGTCACAAGGCCACCCCAAACCCCGTGATCGCCATAAAATGTTGGACAGGAGGGGATTTCCCGGGTCCGATAACCCTTACTTGCACCCGGCAGAGCGGCTTTATCTAGGCCTGCCTCGGGCCCGGAAACGACCCCTGCCCCCCCTCACTAATTAGAATACGACCCCGTTATCAGCAATGTTGAGGACGTCAGCTTCTTATCGTAAGGCCCTTGTGGTGTTTTGCGTTGAAAAAGACGGCGGAAGGGGTGAGGCCCGGGCCTACGGTGGCCTGGGGTGTAGATTAGGGGTATAAAGGTTGGGGGTTGTACCTCATTATCACAGACAAATTGACAGCCGTGCTACGTATTTTCTATTGCGTTATGCAGCTCGAAATGGTAGTGTATCTTTCGCTTACTTGGCCTGGGCTGGCTGGCTTTGGCTTTAAGCGAATCATTGCAGCTTGTAAAAAACCGAAAATTTACAAATTTAAGGTAGACTAGGCCAAAAAGCCAAGCTTAGGCTAAGACTTTAAAGTTATTTATAGGTTTTTCTGAAAATTATCATGAATTTAAGGCTTAAATCATCAGATCTAAGCTACAGTTACGCTATAAAAATCCCCTGAACTCTTTTCCCTCCTTAAAGTATGGAAAATCGACCCCAATCGCCCCACGATTTTTCCAAGACAAAGCTATGACCAAGCATGACCTCAGAAAGTGCGTCAATGAGAGTCCATCGGCTATCCCCGGTAACCGGTCTAGATTTCAAAATAATAGGATACGATACATCGGGATGGGATATAAAAGGTATCCACGTTTCAACTGCTCCATTTCAGATGCCATCATGGTCGATCCACATCCTTTCACTGGCGCTGTGCCTTAGCAGTGGATTCCAGCAGGTTGGTTTTTCGCTTAGGATTGAGCTTAGGCTTATGTATAGGCTTGGGCTTAGGCTTAGCTTAGGCTTAGGCTTGGCTTAGACTTGGCTTAGGCTTAGGCTTAGGCATAACCCAGGCTTTGGCTTGGGCTTGGCTTAGCTCAGGCTCAGGCTTAGGCTTAGATTTAGCCCCTTCATGCAACCGTTTTTTTAGGGCTACATCGCCGCCGTGCTCAATCAACCCTACAAGCAAATCGAGAAGTACATCAAAGACTCGTATCACGAAAGAACGGGGTTGGAATTGGATGAAAATGTTAAGGTATGTGAGGGTATCTCAATTAGCTTAATTTGCATTAAATACAAAATTATCGAACTTAACTTGCCACGTTTTGTGATATTTTCTCCCTTAGGATACCCAAAACAGTTCATACTCCACAATAACACCGGCTGGAACATCATCCAGATCCGAAAATCAAACGCCTCTCAGGCGGTTGGCTGGTATTGGATCGGATTTGTCTGCCGGATCCTAAAACGTGCGCTGTCAAACGAAAACACGTCTGTGGGGATTTCTTTAAAAAACAATGCGCGATATTGGTGTCGATCTCTCTCTTCTCTATCTCTCTCTCTCGCTCTCTCTCTCTCTGTCTCTTTCTCTCGCTTATCAATTTTCTCGGATTGGGATATCAGAGATTGACAACGATCGCGTGAAAATTGCAAAAAATGAGCAAAGATGCCTTGCAGATATTGCTCATGTTAAGTAGCTAAAAACAGCATAAAAATATACCTAAAAGCCTTCTGTATTTCCAGAACATCATCTGGTCCGCCCTCAACATCTCATTCCCCATCGCTACAATCGTCGGCCAGTTTGCCGCTTCCGTACTTTGCAAGCGATTTGGTAAGTTTTGACCTTAAATATACCTCAATACCTATAATATACTTGAAATCCAATAAATGATTCGTTTTTAGGAAGGAAAAGGACCGCCCTATTCTCATCATTTCTCTACATCCCTGGCGGGTTGATATCGGTGGCTGCAAAGTACTGCCATCCCTACTATGAGCTGCTGTTTGTGGGCAGATTTATCTGGTAAGTCTCTCTCTCTCTCTCTCTCCCCTCTCTCTCTCCCTCTCTCTCTCTCTCTCGCTCTAACTCTCTATTTCCAGGTCCTTCGCCAACGGCATCAACGGTGTCGTTGCCACCGTCTGGATCGTAGAATGTGCCCCTCCCCAAATCCGTGGTCGCATGGCCGCCATGCAGGAGATGTTCATGAGCATAGGTGTGTAATCTACTGAATTTACGCACTTTTTGCCTAGTGATACCTCGAACTATGTAATCCCCTCATTTCCAGGCTCCGTCGTCACCCAAGCCATCGGAGTCCCGGCTTCCACGGATGATCTTTGGCCTTTGGTGTTCGTGCCCGGGATGGTGGTCGCCGCCCTGTCGATGGTCATGTTCGCCTTTGTGTACGAGAGCCCGCAGTTTATCATCGAGAAGACCGGGGATCGGGATCGGGTGAGTAGCGGCGAGATCAAGGAGTTCAAACGGGCAAAAAACGCAAAACGGGCAACTGCGTCCAAAGGGGCGAACGCAGCTTAATTACGGCTACGCTAAGCTCCTTTTTACACTGTGCGTTTTATGCACACAATGTCAGCCTATTAAAAAAAATCATAACTGAAAATTGTAGGCCCGTCATGCCCTCGCTGCCTATCACGGCGTGGAAGTAGACGACCCGTCCCTGGAAGAAGAGATGCGTGTCTGTGAGCAGGCCGTCCAGAAGAAGAACAACAAGAAATCGCCAAAGAAGGGGCAGCTGATCGAGGAGGAGCACGACGGGCTGACGATCATGCTGAAGCCGTGGAAAGCCAATGACCCCACCTCGAAAGTTATTCGACACGCCGCTTGGGTTGGACTGCTGGTCAAGGTGAGTGAAAGAGAGATAGAGAGAGCGAGGGAGAGAGAGACAGACAGAGAGGAATATGAAAAAGCTCATGCTCACCTCAATATTAATCTTAGGTTGTCTACGTCTTCACTGGAGCTCGATGCCTCCGTGGCTACAGTACCTTCCTGCTCCACGACCTCAGCCACTGGAGCACCAACGGAGCACTTTATGGCTCTTTCTTTGTTGGTGAGTAGCTTAAATCTTTTTTATAATTTTAAATACCTCCTTTTATACCTTAATATGGCTTCTGAACACCCGAATTTTTCAGGCCTTGCTCGCGTGCCAGTGACGCTCATCCCAGTGTTCCTTGTTGATCGTCTTGGCCGGAGGCCGTTGCTGCTCAGCTCGACGCTAATCTGTGCGCTGTCGCTGCTCACCATGATGCTATCGATTTTCGCCGGGGAGGAGTTCAAGGTGGGTAGAGAAAAGATTGAGCTTGGGCTTCGGCTTAAGCATGAGCTCGGGCTTAGGCGTGGGCCCATACATGCCAGTTACTGTCCTCTTAATAGTTCATTTTTACTTTTCAGGTCGGCACCCTCGTCGGTCTCTCCGCCCTCCTTCTCCTCTCCGCCTGCGGAATCGGCTCGATCTCCCGATTCTACGCCGCGGAGCTGGTGCCCCGATCACTGCTCCTCAACGCCACCTCTTACCTCACCATGTTCGAGGCGTTGACCAAGATCGCCGTCGAGTTCGCCTTTTATCCGGTGGCGAATGTGGTAGGTTTTGAATAGCTTGCTGTCGTTCTCACTCTCTCACTCTCTCTCCTCTCTCTCTCACTCTCTCTCGCTCAAAAATTCCCTTAAACATGGACAAATTTTTTGTTTTTCAGGCCGGCGCTTGGTCGTTGATGCTCTTCTTGGCGCCGACGACGCTCTTCTTGATCCCCATGTGGGCAATGTGCCAAGAAACCTCAAAGAAGCACGTCAACGAGGTGCTGAACGAGATTGCGGTGCGCAAGAACTTGAAGGTGTCCTTCACATCGTAAATTTTCATCTATCCCTATCCCTTTAAAATTGTCTGGAATTCTGCTCGCTCCTCTCTTTCTCCGTCCCTCTCTCTCTCTCTCTCTCTCTCTCTCTCTCTCTCTCTCTCTCTCTCTCTCTCTCTCCTTGGCTCAAAGAGCAACGGGTTCACCGTGCTTAAAACTGTATGCATTTCGAGTTTTCTGATTCCCCCAAAGCCCTAATTCTTACGGGTACCCGCCCTGGCCCCGGATTTGCATCCCGGCCCTTTTTCCTCTTATTGTATTTTACTGTATTTCCTAAAACATGACTGAATGCCCGCCCGAAGCTTTACCCCTTGATCCCAACTATTGTCACCACGCCCTTTAATTTGTATATTCATTTGAATACGTTTTTATGTTGTTGATTTTCATGTGAAAGTGTCCGTCAGACGGGTCGCTGGCAATTTGTATATTTGAAATTGGTATTATGAATATTTGTATTTTGCTATTTTTGCTATGAAGATAAAGAATTATACTTCATACAGTGTTCTAATATTCAAAAGCGTGAGAAAAACCGCGGAAATTGCACTCGTAATTTTAAGGAATCGAGAGCCGTTGAAGACATGACTATGGATTTTGAAAAGTATGGATTCCCCATGGATTTGTACGATTTTTAAGACTAGCAATCCGTTACGCAATGAAATCACGGTCGCGCGTTGCTTGTGTGGCCAAATTTCTGAAATTTTTAAAGGAGCGTGCAAGGTATTTTTGAGGGTTTTGAGGTATGGATTGCTAGAGGATTCTTGTGAATCCGCAACGCAGCCTACCGCAGCTGGGTGCGCGTTCTGAATCAGAAATCATGAGGTATCCAAGGCCCTGCGCGTTTCGCGCCTCCGATGCGGAAAATTCCATAGCCAGGAAATCCATGGTTTGCTTTGCCCGTTCCTTTAAAAAGAGGACGTAATTGCGGCTTTTTTCGATTTCCCTGCAATGAACTCAATTTCCTCATGCTCATGCAAAATCCTCAAAAATCGCAAGGGAAGGGATGAGCAAAACAGGATCTCTCCTCGGTTGCAAAAGGGATAACAAGTTTTCGAAGTGGCAAAAACGGATCAGGGCACATCGTTTGTGACAGTTGATAGCTCTTTATAGGATCGGCATGTGATACAAATTTGGTCGATCATGAAAACATGTTGGTGAGGGTACGAACGGGGTTGGGAGGCATCACCGAAACGGTTTGCTATTTTGTGATCCTGAAAAAGTAGTGTTTCGGAACAAGTGGATTGGAACCTGACGAAAATAGGTGAATTTGGCCTATCGAAATTTGGGAAAATAGAGGGACTTGAAAAGAATAAAATAGTTCTAGTCATTTCGTCAAAGAGACCGACTAGCATGAACGTCGGTTGCTGCACCCGCGACACGCAACGCGTTGCACTTTGCGTGCGTTGCGTGCGGCGTGCGCGATAAAGCCCTGCGTGTTGTCCAAGCAGAAAGCGTGTAAACTTAAGAAAGATTGATAGAAACGACTTACATTCTCCAAGATTCTGTATGTTGGGAAATATAATAAAAATTTTTAGCTAGAACTTTTTGATTTTACATTGTTTTGAGCTGCAATTAAAACTCTTAACATACTTTTCGATGGTCTACCGAATCGCGGAGCGAAAATCCGGACAAAATATCGTAATGTACAAAAAATTTGGTGATATAAACCATGCTTTAAAAAGGTGTCCAGATTTTCAAGAATTGCCGAAATACTTACGGCAAATTTTTCCTGGTCTTAATATGCTTTTGAGAATATTTTTACATTGAATTTCTACTGTTTTTGCTTAGTTGGTTTTTATTTAAAGGGATATCCTGAGTTTGATTTTTTTCTGATTTACTAAGGTTATATTTAGCACCTTTCCAGGGCGCTTTCCTCATTACGGCCGACTAAAGGAATCCCGAGAAGAAAGGAGGGGGGATCAGCTGGCTGGGACAGCGGTTGCCCGGGACACTGACTACAATTAATAGATTGCCGTGAACACTGCGCCCAATTTGGGCTCTATTTCTTCGGCCATTATAGGCAGCGGAAACTACCTAGATTTGTATAGATTCTAGTTTATTTAATACATACATTTTTCGTCTATTTTGCTCTTATTTAAAAGATATTAAGCGTTTTTGTGCGTTTTGCATGATGCGAGTTTTCTAGAAAAATAAATATTTTTGAAAACTCTTTAAGTTTATCTTTTTATAAAAAAAAAAATTTTTTTTTTTTTTTTTTTTTTTTTTTTTTTTTTTAAAATTTTTTTTAATTTTTATAAAAAAAAAAAAAAAAGGGGGAGTGGGTTATTTTATTAAAAATTTTTTTAGTAAGAGATTGGGGGGGAATAAAAAAAATAAAAAATTTAAAAAAAAAAATTTTTTTAAAATAAAAAAAAATATATTTTAAAAAATTTGAAAAATTTTTTTTTTTATTAAAAAAAAAAAAAAATTAAAAAATGATAAAAAAAAAAAAAAAAAGAGGGGGGGAGTATTTTTTTTTTTTTTTTTTTTTTTATTATATTGAAAGAAATAAAATAAATGAATTATTTGGTTAGGTTGAGGTTGGGGGGGGGGGTTAAGAATGATTTGCCTTTAATAATGTATTTAAAGTTTTAAAACCCGTTTCATTTTTCTAAATTATTTTCAATGGTCGAAATTCATGAATTTACTAAAAAACAAAATACGCTAAATTTTTTCGGGAAAAAGTAAATGTTAATCCAGGAAAACGAGATTTTTTCGAGATTTTTTAGCGTCAAGATTATTGAATAGACAAGATTAACTTTGCATATGGCTAAAATGTAGTTTAATCGGTTAAACCCAAATAGAACAAATCGATATTTTTAGTAAGGTTTAGACGAAAATCCAGCAAATTCCTGAAAAACAATCGAGAATATGGCCATTTCCTGTGCTCGCTTCTAGCACTGGTCCTCCCCTACCCCCATGAAAATTATGGGCCATTCTGGGGCCCGCGCGCAAAATGTCATGGGCCCCTGGCTATGGCCATTCCTGGTTGGGTGGCCCCGCACATGCTAAAGATTCTTTTGCTGCCAACGAGCCCTCACAATTTTGCGTTGGCACCCTAAAATTTGCCCTCGGAAAACATGCTCGAACGGGCCAATATAACCCGCGCCGATGAGGTGATCGATTTCTGTAAGTGTTCCGGGCTGGAAAATGGTTTATTAAACGTTTCAAGGACTTAGTTTTGCTGAATCTTGTTATTAATGAAAATTTTATACCTGTTTTGTGGTTTTTGACGTGTTGGGCTTCGGTTTAGGCTTAGGCTTAGCGTAGATTTAGCTTCAGCTTAGCTCCGGAAAGTTAGAGCATAGGCTTAGGCTTCGCTTAGGCATAACTTCGGCATAGCTTAAGCTTAGCGTAGGCTTGGCTTAGGCTTAGGCTTAGTATGGGCTTAGGCATGACTTGAGCTTTCGCCTAGGTTTTTATTAACTTCCGTTTCAAAAAGTTTTACTTAAGTTTAATTACTTAACTTTTCACAATTTTTGATAATGTAACTTATTTTTGAAAGTTTTATGCAAGTAATGTGTTAGACGGTATTTAAAGGTATATCTTTATCTATCTGTATATTTTTTCAGCCAAACTGGAGCCGTGGGTGGGCATGTTGCCCGGTAATATCAACCGGGAGGGGCAAGCCGTCAACCTCACCGGCCAGCAGCTACAGGTTTGAGTTTAACAATTTAAGCATTATTCAGCAAATACTGTATTGTAAAGTAAATCGATAACAAACAAGTTTTAAAATAAAAGGCGTTAAGCGTCTCACGAATGAGTGATCCCTCCCTCCCCTCCCCCGACCTAGACGCCTGAAAGGGCCAATTTCCGGTGGGCCGACGGGTGCTTCCGGTAATACTAAAGGACCCCGGGTTGGATTAGAGATTTAATATTGTTCATTTTACCCTCAGTATTCCTGAAATTCCGGCTATTTACTAATGCCGGCCCGGAAATTCTTTCCGTCACCGGCGCAATTAGAATCGTTGCGGCCGCATGTAAGTTTTTGGCCGGATTTTTTAAGCCATCGCATTTTTGCCCTTTCTAGTCCCTTTAAAGGGACACTAAGCCTCGTTGGTTGGTTACCGACCGCGGAATAGTCAAACAGGTTACGCCGCCGGGAGAAAATGTCCCCGCGCCCCCCCCAGGGCAGCGCTTTGCCCGTTGGCCACGGGCCAGATGGGAGGGGGAGGAAGGGGGATAGAGGACCCGGGCGTCGGCGGGCGCCGACGAACTGACTTTTCAGGATTTAGGTACCTTTAAGAAAATTCTCATTGATATATTTCTTTTTCAGGATGACGGTGTCTGGATCATCACCTCCTCCTTCACCATCTTCACCATGACTTCCGGGTTTGGTCTCCTTGAAAGCGGGCGAGTATCTTCCAAAGATGAAGTCAACATCATGGTCAAAAACGTGATCGACGTCATTTTTGGAGGCCTGTATGTCGTGCGTAGCCCAACTTAGCGTTTAGGGCTCTCCTATTGGATGTTCGGCTTCGGGTTCACGTTCGGGGAGGAGTGGCTGACGAATCCGTTCTGCGGCTTTGGACAGTTCTTCTTCAACCCGGATGATTCGAATGATATCCAGCAGGGATGGGCATATGCCTCGTTCATCTTTCAGATGAGCTTCGCCACGACGACGTCGACGATTGTTTCGGGTAAGTTGAGGGTGAATCTGAGTTCGCTTAGCTTAGGCTTAGGCTTAGGCGCTTAGACTTAACTGTATAAAAACTCATATATTTCAGCCGGAATGGCCGAACGTATCCGCCTAAAAGCCTACATCGTCGTCGCCTTCCTCCTCACCGTAGTCCACGCAATCCCAGCCCACTGGGTCTGGAGCGAGCACGGTCTCTTCTACAAACTTGGCGTCATCGATTCGGCTGGGTGCTCGGTGGTAAAATTGCTTTTCCAATACGAAAATCTACTTTTTAGGTCCATCTCGTCGGTGGAGTAGCGGGAACTGTCGCTACACTCTACCTGAAACCCAGACAAAACCGATTTGGGGAAAAGGGGCAGCAGCAGATGAGCAACCCTACAAATGCTGTTTTGGGTATTTTTTGGTCTAGAAACCTATATAAAATGATATTAAGGTACTTTTATGTTATGGTGGGGCTGGTTGGCGTTTAACACCGGGTCAACGTACGGCGTTAGTCATTACAAATGGCGATTGGCAGCGAGGTAAGCTGATTTCCATTGAAAAATGGTAAAAGAAAGTTTTATCAGGTTCAACTAAACTTTGTAAACGTGCCTTAATACCTAAAGACCACGGCATGATATTTCAAAGCAATTTTTAGAGCTAAATAACATTGTAAACAAGGCTAGACCACCTGCTCCCCAAGTGTCCCCGAAACGCGCACCCCCTGGCCCACTGCTGGGTGGGCCCCTTTATAGCCTCCCGCGGCCGCCCTTTCCCTTTGAGCGCGTGTAAAACGGTTGTTGCCACCTTGTGTGTCCTCGACTACCTAAGCGTGCGATATCGGAAGATTTTGAGGCGTTGCTGAACCTTCCTCCATAGGGCAAAGCGTTATATCGATCACACATTTTGGTTTTGCAAAGTTAAATTATTTTTGGCGTGGCTAAAGGGATCAGAAAAAGCGAATTTTAGCTATAGCTCGTTATTTTGATAGCTGACAATGTATCGCCAGGTCTTCAAAAAAAAAACAACAGATTTATTGCAGAAATGACTATGCTATTTTTTTAGATCAGCAATCGGGACCGTTATGGCTTCCGCTGGGGGCGGGATCACTGCCGTGGTGCTCTCCAAAATTATTGCGAAAAAGATTCAAGTGGATATGTTGATCGACGGGTTACTGGCGGCTTTGGTATCGACAACCGGTGTGTAATTTACGTTTTATATAGGGTAATAGAATTCACGGGCTTGTCTCAGCTTTATATGATTCGATAATACCTCATTTTAGCCGGTTGCCTTTGCATCAGCCCTTGGCAAGCCTTGGTCATCGGCTCGATCGGCGCTATGTTAGCCATTGCCAGCTACCAAATTGTGGAAAAATTGGAGGTATCGGCTTTAATTAAATAAGACCTTATATTTTATCGCTAATTTTTGTGTTTCAATCTTTATCATACTTTTATTATATTAGAACTAATTGTAAGTAAGCTTTTTCCGTTTAGATCGACGATCCGGTAGGTGTAGTCCCAGTCCACGTTGTCGGGGCAACGTGGGGCATGATAAGCCCTGGAATTTTTGCTGAAAATGACAAGTATACGGTAGGCTTTTTTATGTCCATGTACACGCATTAATGAAAATCTAGATGGAAGTAACTCACGGGCACAACGGACTACTTTACGGCGGAGGCTTCTACCTACTGGGGGTTCAGCTCCTCACCGTAGTCACGGTATCGATATGGAGCGGATTGCTGGGCTTTTTGATCATATGGGTAAGCTAGAAGAATATAGGAAAAGTAATGGTATTAACAGAAATTTTTCGAGCTCGATATCCGTATTTTAGGGCCTGAACCAAACGCCGATGGGCTTGAGATTGACGAAATACGAGGAACTCCTTGGTGCTGATCTACGGGAGCATGGCCTAGCTGGCCACAACGTCGCCAAATACAAGGTGGAGAAGAAGCTGACGACCAAGTGAGTTGAAGAAAAAGAAATATTACTAACCCCATTTAATAAAATTTCGATCTAGACAAGCGGTTTGCCTTCTCTTTCTTTCTCTCGCTCTCTCGCTCTATCTCGCTCTCTCTTTCTCTCGTCTTTCTCCAATAATCTGCATATTTCAGAGCGTTCACCTCTGTCATGAAAGCCATCATGCGCTGGAAACGGCTGACCCGCGAGGGCCGTGAACGCCGCGAAATGGAGCGCCAGATGATCGAGAACACCTTCAATTTTCAGGTTTTCTACATTTTCAAGTTCATTTAAATGCTTCCATATTTAACTTAGAATATAATTTAAATCCATTTCATTTCAGTTGGAGGAAAACAACCTGCATCAACGCCGCGCCGGTGCCAAATAGGAAAACGGGAATTGATGAAATTTTTCGGGTTACCAACAATGGCTGTGAATTTGTCGTGTGATAAGTAGCTTTATCCCCAGTATTCCTCTGTTACATATCAGGATGTTAACGTTATGGACTATCATAAAAACGACTATTTTAAATGACACAGGTTATTTCGCGATTGGTTACGGTACCAAATTACTTGATGTCGGATTAAAATGATTTTATAGAGAATTGGGCCGGCTCTGGCTCCAAATCCATTAATACCAGTTACTATTGCATCGTTACCTAGCCTAATTGGTTTGAAAGAGGCTGATTTGTCGCTTCCCGGTCCCCTTAATCCTAAGCTGGGTACTTTTGCCCTAGCGGGGGAGGATAAATTTTTTCCCGTGACGTCCGTTCGCTTCTATCAAGATCTACAAACTTTTGTATCGTTTTACGCTGTTTTTAGAGATTAAAAATTCAAGAAATCATAAAAATTTGCAAAATTTCGTGATTTGGCAAAAAGGCATGGAATACCTAATTTTTAGACTTTCAGCGGAAAGCTCAGAATTAGCTTCCCCCGCTAACAGGGAAGCACCCTAAAACCTACATCCAAATTCCTTGGTCCCCATTTCCTCACCTATTTCCTCCCTTTCCCATGCATCCACATGAAAACTTCCGGTGGCACAAAAGAGAGAGATAGAGGTGTTCCCCCACTTGGCCGTCTCAGGTTCGATATGTGCTCCTCGTCGTCGAAAAGTGGCCATTTTGCGGGGCCCTCTGACGCAGGACCCCGGGTCCGTTTCGAGTCGTTTGACTCGGATTTCGCATTCCTGGGATGCCGATCTGGGGGCCCGGGGGCATAGGGTGTGAGTACGGGATGCTACAGCCAACGAACGAACACATACGCACTTACACCCACCCACCTGTCAATGGGAATGGACCCGGAAAAAGGAGGCGGAGAATGAGGAAATCCGGGAAAAAGGGTAAGGGTCGGGTGATGAAATTGATGGGCCTGGGAAAGGGGGAGATATTCGCTTATGATGGCCTAGGCTTGGCTTAGGCTTAGCCTGGGTTAGCTTAGGCTTAGTTTAGGCTTAGTTTAGGCTTAGCTTAGGCTTAGCTTAAGATTAGCCTAGGCTTGGCTTAGGATAGCCTGGGTTAGCTTAGGCTTAGCTTAGGCTTAACCCAGGGTTCGCTTACGATATAGCAAGCTTGGTAGGCCGGATAGGCTTAATTTAGGCGGGCGAAGGCGCCTCAGCTTGGGGCTGAGCTTTAGCACCTTCTGCCGCTCAAGCCAACCTTGATTTGAGCTTTCAGTTTTTATACGAATTTTGAAACCTGTTAATGCAGATTCGGCTGAATTTAAATCCATTTTAATTAGCAGAATTCTTAGCCTCGAAAAATTTGGCACGAACAATGATGATGAGTGTTGAAAAATGCTGAAAATGCATCTTTGAACTAAAAAATGGTAAAATTCGGCAAAGCATAATTTGGTATAGAAGTGATAGTTGTATTCAAAACTTGTAAGGTGCGAAAAATCCGTGTAGCATTTTTCAAAACGCACCTCAATTAGTTTTAGAGGAAACATACCCGACAGTTACCGCAACCGTCAATATAGTTTTGCAAAGCTCGTGGCCAATTTTTGTATTTCGGTGGGTTTTTGGATCCCTTTAGTTTTTGCATGTACACGAAAGTAACACATTTTCCATTGTCCCTTTTTCCCTTTCCAATAGTTGATACTTCTTTGAGCCCTATAATTTCATCCGCCGCCCTAACTAATAAGATCCCGGGGGTTCAACGGGGTTAATTGGGTATCAGAGGTCACTTTTCGTCAGTGCACGTCCAAACGTCATTCTTGGTCCGGGAGGTCGAAGAACTTCATTCGCGGCGCAATTTCATGAATTATTGATGGTTAATGAGGGGCGGCTGCAAATTGAGGGCGCTGGAAGATAAACGATTCGGATGTGTACTTTGTTCTTTGACATGATGTGAGAGAGCGAAAGAGCAAGCGGGAGAGAGTGAGAGAGAGTGAGAGAGAGCGAGGGAGAGAGAAAGAGCGAGATCATAAAAATCTTCTTGTTCAAATTGAAATTACTAATTGAGTTTATAAAATTTTTCTAGGCTCCTAAAACGGAATTTTTCTTCACGCTAGCCCGGCTGTTATTCGAATTCCGGCCACGTGTGTGTAAGCCCGGGTGCCTGGAATTCCAATAGTGATAAGCAGCTACAGCTAGTCTACAAATCACCCCGAACGTCACCCAAGAATTTTCCAAGTTCCGGTGCTAGTGTGATTTATCACTAGCCACACCTCGTTAGTCACAGCCACTGAAAAACCTCAATTTCAGCAAATCTCAAACTGAAGAATTTGCATCATGAAGTGATGCAAGCAAGGTTTTTGAAGTTGCTGGAAGTAGCGTAGTGTATGTAGTCCCCGCGTATGGTGACGTAGCCCAAGATAGCCTAATGCAGAATCAAGGAGTGCAGCGTCGCGTAGCGTAGGCGGACCTACCAGTTGGAAACGGAAAGTCACCTAGCGGGAACAGAGCGTTACGTAATATCCGAGTGGAATGTTTTGTACCGTATGTAGACGGTAGCGTAGCGTAGGCGGAAGGTATTCTATCGTAGCATAGGCATACGGCTGTCTAGCGTACGCAGGCGTAGCGTAACGGAACTCAGAGCACGGTAAGTAGCATGGCATAAGTAGGCCGTGCCGCATTGAGCGTAGAGTAAACTCAATTTAACGTACCATGGGGAAACGTAACGGAAGAGACAGATAAATGTAACTTACCGTAATGGAGCGTAGCGTAGTGTAGACAAGCCTAAAGAATTAATTCTGGTATATTTTTATAATGCTTTTAGATTAACTACCTTTTGTCATATTTTCTGTAGTTTTTATCCCTGCCCTAACTCCGTCTAACATCTTTAGCGGTCCGTCAGAGATCCGTATCCCATACCCCCTGTTCCAAAAATATGACGCCCCCGGTGTTAATTTCTGAACTCCTAACCTCCCGATTGTATAGAGTTTCGTTCGTCCCTAGTGTTCCCCGGACCCGAAAAGAAAGTATACCGTGTGAAAAAGAAGGAAAAAGGTTGGGGGCGGTTGAGAGTGCGGGGGTAAATATTGACCATTTGTCATTCTTCTCTTTTTCCTGCAACATTTAGATGATTGTAAATCAGGAGACTGGTCAGATGGGTGGCCCACGCAAAACTAGCACGAGCTGGAGAGAGAGCGAGAGAGAGTGGCCAGAGAGAAGAGCGTGACAGAGAAAGAGCGTGAGGGAGACCGAGAGCGAGAGAGAGAGAGAGAGAGAGAGAGAGGCGAGTGACCGAGAGACACAGAGCGAGAGCGAGGGTTGCCGAGAGAGCTAGAGATGGTCAGAAAGCGAGAGATATCCAGAAAATGAGGTATGGAAAGCGAGCTAAAGATAGAGATCGGAAAGTGCGAGAGATAAGAAACACCCAAATTGCAGCCTTTAATTTGCAACTTTTAAATTGACACCTCCAAGCCTAAAGTATCTCTTGAACCATTGCATCACGGCATTCCAAAGACCCCAGCAAAGACCACAAACACAACCAAATTCCGAGACTTTCCGCTGAGCGGACGCACGCCGTGTACAAATAATGGCACCATTGACGTGTACTTTCCGCCCCGAAAAATGGCGGGACCCATTTGTCCAAATTTGCCTTGCTCCACTGCATTCCATCCCTCTTTGAAAAGATTCCGTCTTTTCCCCTAAAAACGATTGACAACCGCTTTTCACTGTAAATTTGCAGACGTCCACCCTGGTGGCCGGTGAGTGCTGACTAATTGCGAAAAATGCTACAACTGGCCCACGCCCTTTTTTGCGGCTTTTGCTGAGTAATTGTCTGGTGAGGGTGGACAAACTTAAACTGAGTTTCGTAGTTTTTCGAGTGCAGGTTGTCACCTGAATTTTGTTGCAAAGGTTTGACTTGAGTTTTTAAAGGTTACGATAAGATAAGCAACAGCGCTTTCTACATCAAAATATGGAAATTCTGAAAAACCTAGAGCTTTTTACACAAATTAAGTGAGAAATCATGACACTGGAAGCTGAGGGTTGGGAGCTTAATCTAACTGAATCAAGCCTGACTCGTTACCACGCGCTACCTTTTTAGCTCCCTGCTCTATCAGCTTTGAGTTCTCTTAGCAGCAAACTCCCTGCTTCGGACTTCCGGAACTTTTATCGTTTTTCAGGCAAATCCTAACTCCCAAGCCTAAGCTCCCAGCTCCTAACTCATTCTGCCTCCTAACTCCTAGCTCCTAATTCTGCGTCTGCACTTCACAAGCTACCTAGTAATATATGCTTATATTGGTCGAAAAGCAGCATCGAATTTTGCAAACCAAACTCCGATCTAAGTTCCCTCAACCATTCAGCCATCACCGCTACAGTGCACTGTAAAACAAACCTGAATCCAATTTTTCAGGCTATCTTCGAAAAACAGAACCACCTGCTCCGCTAAAAATTGAGCGCGTGGGTTCAGAAAGGCTAGATAATTTTTTTAGTTTTTTTTTGTCGGGTTCAGCTTCATAAATAAGGATGGATGGCATTTCGCCTACGGTAGGATGCGGAATGTCGCCACACAAGAGAAGAAATTACGGGTTTTGCCGAAACTACGCAAAAGTGACCGTGACCGGCGTAGCGACGAGGAAGGGCAGAAATTTGGGGTTAGATCTTGCCAGACTTGTAATTATTTCGGGGTCGTTGCACGCATGTAAATCCGCTTTTTGTAGAAGTTCAGACAGTTTCTTGACGCTTTGCAGTAGAGAGAGAGAGAGAGAGAGAGAGAGAGTGAGAGTGAGAGAGAGTGAGTGAAAGAGAGAGAGAGCGAGAGAGAGAGAGAGCAAGAGAGAGAGAGAGAGAGAGCGACCGAGAAATGCGCCCCTAATCTTGAACCCCATATCCCATTAGCTCCAATGATTTGCCAAGCCCAAGAATTTCCGGCCACCACGCCAAAAGATAACCCGGCCAATTTTTTGGGGCTGTTATTTCTGGCCTGGAGTGGAATCTTTG